GGGGTTTAAGGGGGATTTGGGGGGGTCTTGAGGGGGTTTGGGGGGGATTTTGGGGGCATTTGGGGAGGATTTGGGGGGGGTCTATGACAGGGTTTGGGGGGTTTTGGGGAGGATTTGGGGGATTTTGGGGGGTCCTGGGGGAGTTTGGGGGGGATTTCAGGGGCTTTGGGGGGTCCTGGGGCTGATTTTGGGGCTCCTGGGGGTGGTTTGGGGGGTCCTGGGTGGGAAATTTTGGGGGATTTGGGGGGTCCTAAAAGGGATTTGGGGGGTTTGGGGGGGGTCTATGAGGGGATTTGGGGGGTTTTGGGGGGATTTTGGGGTGTCTGGGGGTGATTTTTTGGGGGGATTTGAGGGAAGAAAGGGATACCCAGTGGGCGGGGCTTCACCGCGAGGCCCCGCCCACCACAATGACATCACGATGACGTCACAATGACGTCACCACACAGGGAGATGGAGCTCTTTGTCCACGGCTTCCCCTCGGACGTGGCGGCTCTGAGGGTAAAAGCCCCGCCCCCTTTGCCCCTGGCCACGCCCACCCTGGCCTCAGCCCCTCCCCTGACCAAAGCCACACCCACCCAAGCCCCGCCCATCGAGCCCCGCAGGACTCAAGCCCCGCCCATCCCTTAAACCACGCCCCTTCCTTAAAGCCACGCCCTCTAAGGCAACACTCCCTTAAGCCACGCCTCTCTGTTAAAGCCACGCCCCTTAAGCCACAGTTTGGCCTTTAAGCCACGCCCCCTTTTAAGATAGACTCAACCACTTTAAGCCACGCCCCTTCCCCTGAGCCACACCCCTTCCCCTGAGCCACACCCCTTAAACCACGCCCCCTTTTGTAGCCACGCCTAACTCAAGCCCCGCCCCTTCAGTTTGAGTGGGCGTGGCAACACCCCTCCTCCTCCCGCCGCCTCCCGGCCCCGCCCACCCGCCGGCCCCGCAAGCAGCCAATCAGCTTCGCCCTGCGGACCTTGCCCCGCCTCCTCCGGGCCCCGCCCTGGTCCCGCCTCCCCCTCAGGCTGCGATGGCTCCGCCCCGGGCCACGCCCACCTCTGGACCCGGCCCCGCCCCCTCACGTCGCGATAGAGGAAGGGGAGGGGCTTCCTCGGGTCAGGCCACGCCCGCGGAAGGGGCGGAGTCAGGGGGAGGAGGACACGCCCCCTCCGGAGAAAGCTCCGCCCAACAATGGGTGTGACCTGTGTGGAGAGGTGAGGAGGGGGCGGGGCTTGGGAGGGGGGAGGGGCCAAAAAGGATGGTGGAGTGGGTGTGGCTTGAAGGGGAGGGGCCTCAAGAAGTCGAGGGCAGGGCTTGGGGCAAAAGGGGTGGGGCTGGTGGCTACTGGGTGGAGTTTACTGAGATGGGCGTGGCCTTGGGTTGACGGGGGAGGGACCTGTGAGAATTTGGGTGGGCGTGGCCTGTGGGGTGTGTCCTAATCAAATAATTTGCATATATTTACATAACTTTGCATCGTACTAAAAGTGGGCATGTCCCAGCTCAAGGGCGTGTCCCACTTCCTCCTCTAGGCTCTGGCCACGCCCCCCCTGCGCTGTCCCCGCCCCCTTTGCCCCATGGCCGCCCACCCCCCTTGTCTGGCCCAGCACTTCCTGCGCCCGGAGCCGCAGCAGCTCCTCCCATTGGCTGGAACCTGCCCCAGGTGAGCTGGGGGGCGTGGCCTGATCCTCAGAGGGCGTGGCTTAACCCTGAAAGGGCGGGGCTAAGCGTTAAGGGGCGTGGCTTGTTGCTACAGAGCCCAATTCCCATTAGAGGAGGGGCTTAGGCCTGAAAGAGGGGGCGTGTCCTCATTCTGGCCCCTCCCCCTCACAGGTGCCACGCCCACCTTCTTTGGGGGGATCTGATTCGTCGTCACCTGGGGGAGTACGATGAGTGGGCGGGGCCTAGTGATGACATCACACTGCCAAGCTCCGCCCCCACGTGAAGGTGGCCACGCCCACATCAAAGTCAGGTGACACCGAGCTGCTAAAAAAAAGGGGGCGTGGCCTCCTGCAGGCCCCGCCCCTCCTTTTAACGTCTTTTTAATATAAAAAATTAATTTATTTACAATAAAAACACGAAGGGGGCGTGGCCTCAAGTGGCCCCGCCCCCACAAAACCACACCCTCGCCTCTTAATTCATTTTTTGGGGGGGGTCCCGTCCCCCCCCATCCCAAATTTTGGGGTCTCGTCCCCCCCCTTATCCCAAAATTTTGGGGTCTTCCTTTACCTCAAGCCCCTCCCCCTTAATTTTTAGGGGGTCCCGCCCCTTTTTTTAGGCCACTCCCCCCTTAATTTTATTTTCTTCCTCCTCCCCCTGAATTTTGGGGTCCCCCCTTAAATTTTGGGGTCTCCCCACCCAAATTTTACCCCCCTTAAGCCCAATTTTAACCCCCTTAAATCCTGTTTTTTCCCCTTTAAATCCAATTTCACCCCCCAAAAATTAACATTTCGGGGTCCCCTTTATCCTCCACCCCCCCTTGATATTTTTGGGGTCCCCCCTCAAATTTCACGGTCTCCCCCAAAATTTAACTCCCCCCCCAAACACCCTTTTTACCCCTGAAAATCCCCTTTTTCCCCCCATTTTCCACCCATTTCTCCCCCATTAAACCCAATTTCACCCCCAAAAATTCCCATTTCGGGGTCCTCTTTATCCTCCACGTCCCCCCCGATATTTTTCGTGTCTCCCTCCCAAATTTTGGGCTCCCACTTTTAATTTTGGGGCGTCCCCCAAACCCAATTTTGACCCCCTCAAATCCCTCTTTTCACCCCCATTAAACCCAATTTCTCCCCCTCAAAAATTAACATTTCGGGGTCCCCCTTATTTTTCACCCCC